CGAGCAGTTGACTTGTTGAAATTTCTTTATAGAAACTCCAAGAGTGCATCTATTGAAACTTTGATTGACTTGTAATTCAATTTGCGTATCGCTACATCAATTTCTTTAATTATTTCTTAGTCAAACAACTGTTACCTTTGTAATAATTGTGAAAGGAAGAAATCAGGAATGGATCGTCCATCTGGTAGTTTTAGTGTTAAGCAATTGATATATAATTTAGCTTCATCTGCTGAAGGTTTTGTATTTTCAAAGCATCTTCGTCCATAAAACGTTAATATATAATTAATTAATATATATATATAAAAAATAATTTAAATGATTTAAACTAATGAATACAATGTAAAACGATCTTATAAACATCTGCATTGCTTTCAGGCATAAATTAATGTAAGTGTAAATACAATGAAATTCATGAACAACTCGAAGCGATCAACACAAGTATACTCGTGACCGGTCAACAAAGTGTTAACATTTGCCGTACCATGAGTCTCTTCGAACCCTGAACTCATGACTATTATCTTTTTATAATTTTTGCATTGCTCAATAGTTTTAGTAACGTAACTATTAAAAGAGCCTTAAAGTAATAAAATATAAGTTCAAAATGTTTGTGTTAGCAAAGTGTAACGTGACTCCAAACACGGTCGTTTGCGAACTCGCTAAAATATACAGTACTAGAGGGATTAACACATTCGAGAACGATGACCTAGCATGTGGGTCATGCTGGTTGATCAGTCAGTCATTATTCATGGTACGATTAGTCCGTTATCGGTAGACGGCGGATATTTCTACAAAATCGAAATTTCCTAAAGTAATTTGAAGGAAAAATAATCAAGTAAAAACTGGCCTTTTCTGTTAAGACCTTTAGTAGATTGGAAAAAAAGTAACAGCATTCTGAAGTTATTATAGACATTTGTCTGCTGTACGTTCTAGGCACTCGCGTTTGTCGTGAATACATACAAAAATAATAAAATTAGAAGACCGAAATTTATAATAAAATCTAAGGGAATGTACATTACAATAATAATAATCTGAAGCACAGTTTTCCTATTTATATATTTTCCAATTTCACTTTTTTTAGTCTTATACAAATTGTTATAAGCAGATAGCGTTGAATGTCTTAACTCCTTGGCCTGTAATTTCTTTCGTAACTGCGTTAGAAAAATTTTATTATTAATAATTCCCTATAAATAAAAGCGAATTCCATGTTCCTTCTGTGCTTTCATTCGCTCTAAAGATTAACACTAAAACTACCGGACGGATTAAATTGACATACATTAGAACTTTTATTTTGCAGGTATTCGAATTATGAAGGCGTTTTTGCGAAAGATTTTTAATTAAATGTACATATTCACGCAGATACGAGACTTGGAGACCCTCGAATCTCAAAAAATGTATTGTTCTAATTTTTATAAGACTGGAAATAAGTGACTTTAATTGCTCGGTAGTTTCAGTGTTAAGATTTTGCACTAGAAAAATAACATTCAATTTCAATTCGAAGAAGCAGCATTTACATTTGCTAATTTCTATTCACATTTTTTGCCACGAATCCGGCAGGATACGGTGAGACAACGAGTTAACGCCGCAGCAAGAAGATTGGCGCGAACACGTCCTCACACGCGAAACCGATGATTGATTCCCGATGCGAACCGGATTTGCTCAAGTTTTCTGTCGAGTCGAAGAAATCGAAATGCGCTAACCAACTGAATGATCGGGTTAAGTCTCACCGCTTTGACTCGAACGACGTCAAAGGTCCCGAAACGGTGGGCGGGAAAAATGCAAATGGGGTCAACAAACCGGCGCGTTAATAGTAGAAACGGGGAATGTACCTTAAAATTGTGGAGTAAAGTGGAGCAATTAGGTATAGAGTAAACGAACCAGATTTTGCGGCGGCAAAATGCATATTCAGCGAACTCGCGGAACAACCAGGCCACTGTACTAAATCGACGGTTTTACTGCGTCTTTCCTGCTTGGCGGCGCAAATATTATTTATTGCCTTACAAGATTTCCATAACTTCACACTAAAGATTCCTATAACTCGTCGAACGGTGCAGTTTTCAATCCCTCGACTGAGTCAGCTCTGATCGTGACCATGTTTAATATGCGTGTATATATACGTGTGCGTGTGTGTACATTCAATCTTACTACCTGCACTGACGATGTTATTAAGAATAACATTGTACGTACTGTGAATGCTAATGTGCAATTTATAACTTATAATATGAGCATCTGATGAAAAATTAAACTGAATTTCGATGAAACATTAATTAAATTCGTTGAACAATTACTATCTCTGACGGAAAGTATATAATCAATTAAATGTAGTGTTTGTCGTAATAATTCTTTACTTATCAAATTAAATAAATAACCGTATGCCTAATTAAGATATTTATATAACTATGAATATGTTTGAGTTGAAAGTTCAATCAAGTTACTGGAACTTTTTGATTGCAGTATGGAAGATTACATTTGGAAGCGTTTTTGTTCCATTACCGTTTGTTTTCGAAATAAAAGCAATTGGTTTTGTGATATGGTAAAACACCGATTTTCATCTTTTATAATTAATGTCTCATTGATTCATACGAGTTTTTGTTTGGAGACAAAATATCGATATCTTTCCGATTGGTGTTTATTGAATCTCTGCAGCAGCTGTATTAATTTCTCCAATTTTCACTGGATAATGTATTCCAGTTCGCAGGTCATTGCATACAGCTTCGATTACTTGTATTACCGTTTATGAAAGCCAAGTTTAATGGCCATTGTCACTTAATTTAATATCAACCTCAATCGATTAATTTTATTTACCGTTGCAACCTGTATGATCACTCTGTTGCAATATATTCGTCTGAACATCAAGCGGGTTTGAAAATCAATTTTATATTCCTCGTTCATTGTAAATTTGTTGCAACAAATATGTTGAACTGCAGTGTTTAGAAATAAATATAAATACACTTTAGAAATAAAGTAATTAAGATGCAAGTGTGCATGATTTTTCTTACCAGATTTTTTACTGTTGATAGATATAATAATCATTTGGCAAAATTTTCTACGTCATTCACAATTATGCAATTAATAATAAATTTTCAATAAGCATTTGAATAAGTTTTTAAAAGTATTTTAAATAAAGCATTGTAAAATAATTATTCACTTCTTTTAATCATTTATTTATTCCAAACAAAGAAAGCGAATAAGAATATTTTTTTTATTCGGGAAAATTTAAATTATTTAATTAAATATCAACAATTACTATTTGTAACAGAAGTAGTTTTAGTTCTTGTAGAAGTTTATTAGCAGTATAAAATGATAGTTAAGTGTAATACAGTTAAAAGTTAATTTTAGGAATCCATTATTAAACGTATTAATTTCATATTATTCGCTTCAATAATAAAAACGAAAAGATTCATTTTAATACCGTATGAATTTTCACGGAAGAACGGAAGTTATTATTTTCAATTTTAGAAATAAAAATTATCATGCAAAATGAGTGCTATAACCTTTTTGCCATAATGATTCTTTCCAATTAGCGGAAAACATTAAACTTAAAATTCACTTTATACTACGATCCGAGGCTTAAATATTGCTTTTCGTGCTTTGCGTTTGCTTAACAAACTCTGCGGTTCCGTAGGGTACCGTAGGGTAACGTTTCTTAACAGTTTTATGAAAGAATACTTCAACTTGATTTTCTGCCATCATTTCGTTCCATAATACTTCTTTTATACTAATTTTACAAATTGACTCTATCTGTATTTGTTTCCTTAATTTACATAAGAAAAACAATTACGAGCCTTATCAGAATACATGGAATATTATTTAATGTGTATAACAGAACTGGCTGAGCTAAATTACTTTCGAAATTTTAACAGGAACACCGGAAGCAAATTTACCATCGCCCATAACGTAACGACGAAGTTACATATGTAATACACAACTTATATCGGCGAATTAAAATGATCACTCGTACTTTGATTGTTAAGTTGAAAGAGTTTAAGAAATTATATATGTACACTAATTACCTTTTAAATACACGATTTTGTTTTAAATACAATTCAATCAAATGACCTATAAAAAAATCTGTTGTTATATTCAGATTTTTGCGTATAAACTGTAAGGTATAGCGAAGAATATTGATATATCGAAATTTTTAATAATTTGTTCATGTATATATTTTTATTGCGATAGAACAATTTTATAGTTTGTTTCTTTACAGTCGATTTATAACGGCACAATTATTAAAAATAATCTCTCGCAATTCTACGACTGAAATGAAAAATTAAATGAAAGTCACTAAGCTTTCCTTTGGAACTTACTTCGAAAGTTTAATTTAGTTTGAGGCCTGTCGATAAGCTGACAGAACTTAGAGTACGTATTGAAGCGAACTCTAAGCAAAATGAAAAATTTCAAGGCTTTCACGTCATATGTTTACCCTAAAATAAATGATCAGCCTTTATTATTGTAAAAAATTGTAACTATAAAATTATGTATTACATACACAAGGAAATTGTACAATCTTTATTTTTGCAGCAATCGTCAACCCAAAAAGAGTACACGTTATAATCGTTTATGTTCAATTTAAAGAAATAAGTTTTAGAGTAATTGCAGTTCATTGTTTTATTCACACAAATATATGTACATAGATATATTGCAATTAAATACAGAGAATAGTTAATTCAAAAATTATGTTCATGTGGAAATATATTTTTCTATTGTCTCGATCATAAATTTATATATTTCATACCTATTTGACATTTTCGGAATACTTAAATTTGACTGGTTTATATAAACTTTTATAGGTCCCAGTACAATTAATTTCTGAAAGAAAAAGTATTTATATTTTTCATATATGTTCATACATATACACACAAATGTATATATTCCTAAAAAGAAATACACAAATTTCACACAAATGAATACAAAGTACAGTTTCAGTGTAATATAATTGACATTATCGCTCCACTCTTTTTATAACATGTTTCTTAACGATTTTTTGTGGCCGTCTGTTTCAGAACACTACCACATATTTGTAGGAGATCTAAGCCCGGAGATCGAGACGCAGACCTTGAGGGAAGCCTTCGCTCCCTTCGGCGAAATCTCGTAAGTCCTCTTAATCTTGCTCATTAAAGACGACTTACCGTCCTCTTCGTGGTATACGAGTGATAATATAGCGATGTAATGTGAACAGCGATCTTTCGTGCATGCAACGTTAACGAATCGTGCCGCGGTTGAGAAGTCTTTCGTGCCAGTCAAACCTTCCATTGTGTCGCATTATTGATGTAATTTATTGCGTCGACTTTATATATTACTTCGAAGTGATGAAATACCAGTAAATATTACCTCGCGACGTACATTCTCACGTACAGAACACCTTTACTTTATTATTAACTGGAAAATGAAGCACTAATAAAGTGTTCCCATTTTTTTTGCTTTCTTATTTTACTACTGAATACTTCCTTTTATATATGCATCGAAATTTAAAGTGTAAAAATGAAATGTATGCATATAAAAATATTACGCAATACATAATATTATATATATGTGCAGCAGTAATAAATTTCTAAAAACTTCTCGTCTATACAATATTAACGAATGTTCATTCTGAAGAATATATTACCAATTTATTTTCCATATTTCTGATCAATTTTCTATGATATAAATAAAAAAGGTAGAATGTTCAACACTTGGGATGAAAATATAAATGCACTTCAACTGTTGTCAAATAAATCAACCCTTTTTTTTATAAAATAATTGTATAACAAAATGTAAGAACATCTTGTGTATACGGAAACCTAGTTTAAATGATTGTATACGTTTTACCACCATTTACTGTTGAAAGTAATAGGAGTTGCAGTTGTAGTAAATTGACCTAGTTTGGTAAAAAGGAGTCACTCTAGAGGAGAGATCTGAATATTTCGTTTTATTAACCGCACAGATTTTGCAGGTTTATTGCACCTTTAACGAGACTAACCAGTCTCTCACGTCGCGATCTTTTACGAGTGCCTCATCATTCGGCGTTCCACGATGCACCGACGCGAAGTATAATAATGTTTATCTTTCCATGATCTATGATCCACCTAACTTACAAACCGGAGATACCTTGCTCCCTATTCCACTTACGGGTCGATAGATGCACAACGATAATATTCTGAGCGTCGATTGCTTTCAAAGTCGGTCATCGTACTCACGAGATGAATTTATGCAAGTATTATATCTTGATGGATCCTATCAATAAGTCAATAATCTGTGTCAATTTATATTATAGGAAAACTTCATTTGCTAGTTACAATATGAACAGTGATTAGATATACGCGTAAAAAAAAATAGCAGTTCGTGTAAGTTTTACACTGCAAAATTAATGCAAACTTTTAGTAACCTTTTGAAGTAAAATATATTTTTTGAAATAACAAAGTTACGGAAAGTTGAAACCTTTAAGAGTCTTTCAGGATTATAATATTCAGAGTGATGGAAATTAAAAATTTTTGGTCATCGTATGTGATCATAAGTGGCCATATGAAATGTAGTGAAATGTTTATAGAATATAAAAAATTACTAAAATTTAAATATTACCATCGAGTCAACTCGAACGCAATAGAGGTTAGAGAAATTAAAGTGGGCGTTATATCGCTACATTTTTTTTAGCGCGCTGCGTATTATGCATCGAATTTTTTGCTATAAAAATTCACGTAGCTTTATAAAAAGTGTACTTTAACATATACTAAATATCAAATGAATCTGGCTTTTAGTTTTCAGAAAAAAAGACTCATAAAAATGTACCACTTTTCATACAGATATAATTAAAAGGATCTCCTATTTAAATCATACAATGCCAGCTCGAGTTGAAAGTTTAACTCCTCGTATTTCTAACTGAGATGCATTTATTCTGTACAGTGTTACTACTCAAAATAGATATTTTTCAAATATTTAATGGATATTATTATACTTAATAGTTACTTCCTATTCAATACAGTATACATTCTTATTACCTAGATATTTTCCTTCTAAATTACTGCTTAGACACTACTGCCATTCACTCTAACATCAAGTGCATGTAAATTTTATATCTTAAAATTACTGTAAACTGTGGGGAATGATAGACGCAAAACCTTTGTTATGGATAATCTTTCAAGTATATATTGAAATTTTTAAAAACTAGAAGAATTGAACTAGTACAATATGCGTTCACCGTCACTATGGTTGATCTAGTTTTACTTTACAGCAAATTTCTTATAAATCAAACATTCTTTTTTAATCCTCTATACTTTAATTTATTTCTCAAAACATTATCACAGCACTGTAATTATCGAAGTAACTATTCGATAGTTCACACGTGGAACGCAATAATATACCAATTTACAGGCATTAGCGGAGCATTAGCAGAGCAAGCAAACACATTAGCAGAACCTTCATTAAATTGGTTGTCCCGGTGTTAAGGTTAGATCAAAGTAATACCAATAGAACGGGGTTACGTTGTTTTTCTAATGGGTCGTTAGTGTGAAATCAAGATACGATTTCATTATCTTTTACGATGTCCCTAACGGCGCGAACTCGATTTCGCGAAAGGATTAATTCATCGAAAGGAGAACGTGTTCGCGTTGCGGAAGTTCTGTAAAATTCCCGGGAACAGTGAAATTGGAAGACTATAGAGCTTTAAATGCATTACCGTTTAATGGGAAATAAAAAGTTCTTCGTTTATGCGCTCTAACGAACGCGATTCGAATCATTGATCTAGTATCGGTTATGCCCCCGGTATCTGATACTGCCGGACGAAAAACCGACTCGTGTTCAACCGGGAATCACCATATTTAAAGCCAGCGCGTTTGCTTCGCAACGGCGTCGATGTCACGCGCATATTTGATTTGTCATTGCAATGTGAAATATGTTTCTCCCCACCTGTCACCCCCTCTTTTTTTGCTGGCACGCACGCGCGTCGTTTAAGTATTCATCACGCTTTCATTCGTAAAATCACATTTGCCGAAGTGTGTATTTTGTTATCGGGCTCGTACGGAATATCATATTTCACCGCGACATGGAATTCCAAGCTGGAATCACGAATAATATTTACCGATCCCTGATATTTTGATTTTGAAATAACAGCCGCTTACCGTTCACAACGGTTGTTTTTTCGTCTCCAAATGGAAAATATGTTAATCGCGGGAAACGAGTAAAACGTTTTGTCCATGTTTCTTTGAAATACTGTATGGTAAGATTTGTTTAGATACGTTGAAATTTTGACTTGCTAGACTTTTATAGGCAAAATGTTTGGAACATATAAGTGTATCGGAATTTACGGTGCATCTCGAAATGAAGTATTCACCGTGCGAAATCTATTAACGGACGTAGATTAAAATTTCGTCGTGCAAGGCTACATTTTCGAGGAAATTGATTTAAAAGATTCGTCAAGCACGCGTCAAATTGAATACAGTTTGATTAACGTGTTTGCTCGTTTCGGGTTGTTTCTACTTAATGAATATAGATGTTAATAGCGTTATGACGTTCTTCTCCCTTTCAGAATGATTTCATGTGTAGCAATGATTTAATGTGTAACGAGATGTCTACAAAAAATATTGGTCTTCCGAAGTATTCTTTTCTATTTTTCTAAGAAATTTATGGACAATATTCCCTATGTTCCGTTAAACTTTATTCAGTTGCATATTGTCCATTTCATTCGACGAATTGCCACTGTTATTCGATGAATTTATTTATCTTCTATATTCGTTCACGTATTACAATACAGACACTGCACTGAACAGAATAAAAATATTTTTGGCCGACACAGTACATAATTTTTCAGAAATTTATGCATTCAATATTTTACTGTATCCGAAACCAGTAATGCTTGTTCACATATTTTCCAATGTAGAAATGAGAATTAATTAAATCTTTTTTCTGTACAACATTGAGTACACGACATTTTTCCGTGTAGCTTTTAATAAATATTCATTCGAATATTTCTGCCATGCGTGAAAGAATGCACTACTTTACCTACCATACAACATGCATATAAACAGAGTAGACCCTTATCGTTATGATATTCCTATCAGAATCAAATCAATAAAAATACTTCTCTTTTATGGGAACTACTGTTTATTGAACAGTGCACTATATAAGCATTTTGTTACTCACAAACTATATGTTTACACACGATTCAGTATAAACAGAACATTGTGATTGATGAAATGGAATTTTATTATTACCGCGCGAAAATACACATTGTTGACTATAATAAATACATGCTGACTATCTAATTCCTAATCTTCTCTGGATTCATAAATTCTTCACTGTTGGTAAACAAATGACCATTTTGTCTCATAATATAGTTCCTACTATTCGCATATTTTAATAAGATATCTTGCATTAAGTTTTATGCACAACTGCTGCTAACTGTAGACGTTAAACTTTCCTGCGAATATATGTATACAAATAATCTAATGAGTAGACATACTCTATATATATAAATATATATATATATATATATAATACTTTTGTGGATCAGTATGAATACAACAATGGCTACTATGTTGGATCAAAATATCCCAGCATTCGTTACCGGAGGGTTAATGTAAATCTTCTCAACCAGAAAAACAGAAAATCTCCAAACACCATAACATTTTATCAAAACAAACATTCTCTCAGATATACGGAAGGGTTGCAAAAATGAATTCACACGGGCCGAATAAAACGTTCCCTGTTACCTGTACATCACGCAAATCCGACGGACCGGCAAAATAATAAGAGTAGCTCTAAGAGGATTAAAAGCACTAATCTCGAATAATGCGAGCGGGCACGCCGAATATACACGTATATCGTGAAATAGGACTTTTACGTATGTATCCGTCAAACGCAGACACGGGAGGGTTAAAAAAACAGAAAGTTCATTCGAAGCCTCATATTTTCTAGCATTCTTACTCCTTTGCACTTTATCATCTTTCGATCATCTTTTGATTTGACGCAATAAAACTATAAAATTCGATATTTAATGTTGAACTTCGTATAATACATCAGTATGTGAAATATCGGAATAAAATAACTTTGTTCTAGTGAGAAACTTTCTAGTGAGAAATGTTATTTAATCCTTTGCACTTTAAAGATGCCTCTCA